CAGATTCATGCTCAAAAATAAAATAAAATTGCAGGCATTTAAAATGTGATTGGGTCACAGTTCAATCGTAATCATAAGGTAGTGCATGGGGTCACTGTAAATTGGTGCGGAAGATTGTATATGACAGATTTTACAAAACTGGTTGAGCATAGTCATGCTGTACAAGCCGATTTCTGTCGAAAACTAGACGAGCAAGTTTTCTTTTAAACACACAAACTGTGTCAGCCGTCACCATCTCGCTTGGAAGTGAGTTCCACGGCCTGACAACCCGCTGGCTGAAAGAAAATTTTCGTCGGTCTAAACGTGTTCGCTCATTCCCGACTTTGAATGCATGGCCGCGTAGTTGGTTTGTACGGGCGAACTCAAAGAAGTCCTCTGCCCTTAATGAGCAACCCTGGCCGCGAACAATCCGGAACGTCCAGAGTAGACTGCAGTTTATTTGTCTATAAGAGAGAGGGAATAGGCCAAGCAAATTTAGCCTCTCCTGATAAGACAAATGCTTTAGACCGTCGACCATCTGGGACGCCTCAGTCATCTTGTGTAGGAACAGCACTGTATAACTCCTCGCGGGGAAGGGGTTAGAAAGGGTACTTCAAACAGGTGTCGGGAAATCACGCCGTCTGCAAATATACAGTAGGCCATAGATACAAAACTTACATTCGAAAAGCAACAAGGGACGACGAACAGCCTTGTCCCTAGCTCCTATACCCACCCGCAGACTGCTAGAACGAGTCTACACAATCTGCAATCTAGGGTGCTCGTTCTGTTTTAGAAAATCTGGCAGAAACCGGTCGGAACGTAGAACGCGTTCGTCGCTCGAGAACTGTTGAGGCCAAAGATGGACAGTGCTGCTCTCGGTAAGGCCCAATTGTCCGAACAATGTCACCTGATGAAGACAGGCACCTGTTACATCAGTTTCTGGAGCGGTTGCGCAAAGGCAGAGCGACGAGGTGTTGTCGTCGTCCTTACCATCCAAAACGGCATCCTAGGACGACTACCCTGTCTGCCACGGTACACCAACGGCTGACTCAATCATACATCTGCCTCTTCTGGAAACCAAGTTCGACGCCATCGCCAACGCCCACGTTCCCTCAATGATCAAGCCCGATGAGGTGAGGAACAAGTTCAACCGCGAACTGCACGTCGTCATGGCGAGTGTACCGCAAGCAGACAAACTGAGCGTCTTCGACGAATTTAACGCCCGCATCTGGGCAGACCACACTGCCTGGGGGTAATTATAGGCCCCCATGGAATTGGCGGCAGCAACGTGGTCCTACACTTAAATTCGGCCGAAATTCCCCTCCCAAACAGCAATATTATTTTAACGGGGCACCATTAGAAGATACAGAAAGGCATAAAGACCTAGGTGTGTGGACAACCGCAAATCTAATGTCGTCAGAACACTGTGAGATGTATTTGAAGGTTACTTCTGAGCGTGAGGATGCAAAATATTTGAATATAAATGGGTCCTTCAAGGACTCTGTCCGTAATTCTTCAATTTCAATTACAATCGACGACGGCATCATCCTTCTGAGAACAGGGGTAAAACATCGTATCCTCCTGACCAACATCTTTTTTGCCTTCCGACGCACGAGCAGGCAATCTGGATGTACCCCTGTTCGCGGTGCTGGCAGCTGCTGGACTACGTTCTTGTCCGGAGGCGAGATTGGCAGTGTGCTAGTAACAAAGGCAATCTGGGACTCTGGTGTCTTGATCGACTACCAACTCGTCATCTCAAAGAGGAGACCGCAAGGTAAGCACCGCCAGGTAAGGTAATTACTGTTCCGTTGAACGTGCCTGCTGACCACTTCGATTTCAGCAGTCAACCTACCCTGCGACTAGAAGATATGAGAACTCCAAGTGAAAATGCCTCCGTGGAGGATCGTTGGTTCCTACCGCAGAACACTATCCACTTCGTCAACCTCCATGCCGTCAACGCCAAAACTGGCTCCACGACAATGAAGCGGACATCAGCAACCTGTCTGCCAAGAAGAACATGCTTCACAAAGCCTACATCGACTGTGGAACCGATGTGATAAAAACTGCCTGCTTCAGCTGTCCCCCTCGGTGCAGCAAAAACTCCAGAAGATGCAGAATGTGTCGATGGATTGCACGGCCATGAAAATCTACGCGTACGAAGAACGCGATAAAACGAGTAACTTCTTCGCATTAAGCAAGTTGCTCTACGACCCCACAGCCTATATGTGATATCTCTGACCTTCTTTCACCTAGTCGGCGGCGACGAATTTTTTTCAAATCCTTCATCCTCACTTGTATGAGTTTTATTTTCTTCTTCACTGATAGGAGTTTATGAGGGAGTCATTAACACGTCGTACAGGTTATTCAGTTTTTCATCCATATAGCAGGGGTGACTTGACAACAGAATAGTGTCTGCTGTACTCCCGCCGGCGAAATAATCTCTTCAATCCACAACCATGTCATAGTGGTGTTGGGAAACCTTCACTCGTTCCGCGACCCGGGTCTTCAAATTGGAGTCCGACTCTGGACCGGCATTTTGCACCATTTCTAAAGGTCGGCTTCGATTATTAATTAAGCCAATGTCAGAGCATTTAGCAAGGTATAAAACGAAGCACTCAAATAACCTAAGGGTATGGAATAAATAGTAAAACGATCAGAAGTTCGTAAATACGAAAGATCTAACAGAACTGACTGGGGACCCAGCCAAAAGTAGAGTGGCTATTTCTGTGAGGGTCCTAGGATATCTATCGCGAATTGAAAAGTAGAAAGGCACTTATTAGCCAAATTCAATTTTCATCACGAGAGTCTGCAAGAATGTCCAGGAGGCCGAGATTTTAATGGAACTAAACTCCTCGGAAGTTGAATAGTTGAAGTAAGATTTGGAATTCGCGGTCGTTTGGTTATCATCACCGGACAGGTTTTGTTAATTAAGGGGATTATCTTACGTGGAATCAGAGATCTTTCAAGCAACCGGTGTGTGGTGATGACAAGATTCCTAAACCATAAGACAAACAGAATGAATCGAGGGAACGATCATTTACCTCCTTGGACACAAAAGCGCACGGAGACCGAAGTGGTTTAGAGGTTTTTAAATTCCGTCAAAGAAATTTGTGCGTTTCTCGTTACAGTAGGCAAAGGTGCATTTGGTGGATGGAATTAAAAAATTAGCCTTTTTGGGAGTGCTCCAAGACAGAAGTTGGTCGAAGGCTTCGATCGTTCTGTCGGTCATTGCAGAACAGTGCATATTTCTATTTATGACTTCAGATGCGTGCAGAGCGTCGAACTAGGGAAGACTTTAGCATTTGTTAGTCTGATAATTTGAGTACTTTGTGACATCCCAAACTTGGAGCACGTGCTTTGGATTTGGGCGTTTGTTTGAGTCAATCACAGTTTCCAGTTTGATGGTCACGGTTGTCTTCATGCTTTTCTGAGCGGCTCTGTCTGTGGACTTTATTAACGTTGATTATAACTCCCTTGACATTGCCACAATGAATGCCGAACAAGAACGGCTGGAAAGACTGGCCAAACTGAAGGCGTTGGGCGAACAAGTCCGGATAGGCGGCAAAGGTACCGCCCGTAGGAAGAAGAAGGTCGTACACAAGAACGCAGCTGCCGACGACAAGAGGCTACAGACTTCCCTAAAGAAGCTAAATCTAAGCTCGATTCCCACCATAGAGGAGGTAATGTTACGTCATTTGCCTGATCGTACAGGTCAACATGTACAAATCTGATGGAACTATGATTCACTTCAAGAACCCGAAAGTGCAAGCCTCTGTCCAGGCCAATATATTTGCTGTTTCCGGTCAAGCTGAGACAAAGAGTATTTTGCTATTTTTGTAGCATATGTTTTAGCTCTGTCTGAGTTGTTCCCGAACGTTCTTAACCAACTGGAGACCGCAAAAATGCGTCTTTCGAAGATGAACGGTAAGAACTCATACTGTCTGTTCTGACTGCGCAGAACGGTTGGTCATTTGTTTCCCTTTTTAAGTATTTCCAAGCACGATCCTGATCACGGTGCATCTAACACAAAGAGTTTCCTAGAGATATACATGACATATACGTTCAGCCAAGAATTTAAGTCCAATGCATCTGGTACCACGCCCAAGAGGAAGCATGATTGATAGAGTAGGAAACTTCTGGAATCCTCTTGTTTATGTCCAGTGTCGCAGCAAACGCCGAATGCACATTTCCTGACGTCGGTCATTTAACCACCCCCCAGCTTTTGGGATGTCGCTAGCCAGCGCGGTTTATGGCCTGCCGTCCACTGTTATTCTAGATACCTAGAAGTGACGTCTTGTAATACATTATAATATTTCTTTTGAACTGCCTAAATGTAACTGTCATGCAACTGCTTACGCGCGCTATTATTTGCATCTCTAGAAGCAGCCGGCGCTGATGCCAAGGAGAACGACGCAGCCCAGAACGACGACGATGATGACGTCCCTGACCTAGTTGGAGACTTCGATGAGAAAAGTCGTCTCGAATAGACTCATTGACACCCACTTATCAATCGTTCCGACAACTTGGCAGCTTACTCGCGATAAAAGTCCGTCGGAATTCTCGGATATTGTGTTGTCGAGCATTTCTTATCACTGCACAACATCACAATCCCGAGATACCCCTGTATAGTCTAGCTGCCAGATCTTGTCATTGGCCAGTTTTGTGATAATGGAAAGTCGAACATTATTCATTTTTTGAGCGAGTTAATTGTCAGTGAAAGTTCCGTAATTGACTGGTGACATGCCAGTCATGCCGGCCGCCTTGAGCACTTTTTGGGTCTCTGTGGGGAATGGGTAAAGATCCGTGATAGGCTCTCGTAGTCGGCAATTCTTTTCGTATCGTATTTTCTGCAAATTTAACGACTGGACTGTCAGGAGCGTTTGGTTTTGATGTCAATAATGCTAGCCAGTTCCGTACGCATGACCTACATATCTCATGCTAGCTTCCTCAAATCACGCCTCCACGAGTCAGGTGCTGGCAATTGTAGGTGTGTTCCTTTAATATTTTCCAGAATTCGGTGATACCCATTTTTGTGGCCGCCAGCTCTCCAACCGAATGTCATTCCTGCACAACCCACGTGTTTACACAGGCAGTTAACGGCATGCCTGTCTTGTATGTCACTCGGGTTGGGGGACTACATACGTTTTTTATCCATAAATCCCGATAGTGATTTGACAACAAAATACGACGGTTTCGGCTCATACGAGCAGACTAGGATGAAATACCCCTAACCGGGACGTTGTGGAAACGTGGCGCTGTTTTGGGTATGAAAAGGCTACGAGAGCGGTGACCTGTTGCCCACGACCGAGGGTCCTTTTCCTGCGTCTGGTTGACGGGACTCATGGACTGTATGGAGGCAGCAACACTTCTACCTTGTCGCCTGTATCTAGACGTTAGCCCAGGTAGACCTGTCCTGCTGTGGCCCTGGACCGTGCCCGCTTACCTTACGTGTGAGTGTACTTATTCCCCTAGGAAGATGGTCTCAGGTCCATTTGAGGCAATTAAAATTTCATACTAAACTGGGACCTACGACTTGACAGTCACGGTGCGCCTACATTGGTGGATTGTTTTATAGGCTGAATTTTTCCGCAGGGTGTCCCTTGCTGTGTTTTAACAATTTCCCACTTCCACCGTCTGGCGAATAATGTGTGGTAAGGTCAACTATGGCCCCGCAGATGACTGTCGGTGATCACGGTTAACCTGTTCGCCCCGGGAACTACTGTGCGGTGGGGTTTTGTGCATGGCGGTTTGTCAACCGTGGATCACATAGGCAGTGATTAGGACTAGGTATCGACTTCCGAAGGTCCACGTGGGGTTATCTTAGACCGCAACGACGCCACCTCCACTGAAGAAGCAATGACGTTTAATTTCCGTAGCCTCGGGCCGGATGCACCCAAACATTTTTTTAATTTGTTGTATAGTCAAGGGTGCAGTTATTTCTCACCGAGTGCGAAATACGCCGTAGACGGTGGTACCCAAGAAGGACCGTCTAGGGTCGTGGGGTTCTCTCCGCGCTCCCAGCCTGTCCCCAATACTCGCAGAGGAAGGGTCGACCGGTCAACGTCTGGCACTCGCTACTGTCCACGAATTTAGTAGATCACCATTCGTCGCTCACATCCGGGCAGACCTTAGGGATGTTAATTTAGGGCACA